TCCCAAATCCTTGACCCTCCCACCTTCACTGCCTATTTCAGTTTCTCTGGCAGAACTGGCTGTCATGACTGAGCAATTGGCTGGATCTGACCTTGTGCCCAGCCCGGGGTTTTCCTCCCCACTTGGACAGAGCCTACTGGATACAGAAGGATTTACTCTAGGGAGAAACCACCGCCCAGAGTCCCCACCTCTAACCTCACAAAAGGCTGGTTGCTGTTCCAGCACCAGCACAGATCGGTGACAGTGACCACAATTTAGACCTGTGAGATACAGCTCTGCTTTTGGACTTGATCCCTGGGCTCTATCCCTATAGCTCCCCAGTTTATTCCCCTCTCCTTCCCTTATGCCAACCTATGTTCTTGCTGTCTCAGGAAACAAATCTCACCAAAATTAGAACACTTGCTGCCTTTTCTCTTTCTCCGTGTGCCAGTCAGGGTCTTAGTAAGAAATGAATTCAACTCTGCTGGTGTAAATGAGACTTAAGTGAAGGTGCTACTTATAGCAGCATGGGTAGGGCTAAGGGGGCCTAGAAGGGGTGACTGGGTTCCAAAGACTGTAGCAGAGGGCAGCATTACTGCCCTTGGGGATAGAGAGGAGCCCAGGAGCCCAGTGAGAGCTGGAGCCAGGGAAGAGGGGCCCCTCCTAGAGGAACAGAACCTCTTGCAAAGCAGGGGAGGAGGGTGGTTCTCTCCCTACATCTACCCTCCAGTCTCAGGCCCCCCCATCGGTCAAGTCCAACCAGAAACCAGTGGCAGGGGAGCCACAATGTGCCACCTATAGGTCACCCTCTCAGGTACAGAGCAGGACAGAACAGGGCACCAAACACATCAGAGCGTGGGGAGATGGAAACAGAACAAGCAGCTGACACCTCCTGGTAGGCATTGTGTTTCTTCTGCAAGTGCCACAGCTTGATCCAGTCTGTGGGCCTTCTGAAGGGGGGTTCCTGAAATCCTTCCTGACTTATCTGCCTGGCAGAATAGCTTCCACGGTGCCAATTGCTATTCCAGCTACTCAGCTGTGAGTGGATGCAACTCTGATTTCCTTCTATCCCTATGAGTCGGGGTCAGAGATCAGAGACCCCCAGGACTTCTCAAATGCCAGGAGCTCCTAGGAGGTATAGAAAAGGAACAGTAAAAGCCTGTCCCCTACCCCCCAAGAGGGAGCTCCCTGTGAGATGCAGGCAGGCAGCACAGAAGCAGAAAGGAGGAAGAACCCAGGAATGAAAAGCCCATGGCGGGGCCTCTGGCCTCATTGCCTCCTTCCAGGGATGCCCAACAAGCAGCAGAAGGGCTCAGGCAGCCCTGCAGGGAGGGTCACAGCTACACCTGCTGCCCATTCCGACTTTCACCTCTCATCTCATCCCCACCAGGACAGATTCTTGCCCCTCTCAGGCACAAACAATTGTCCTGCCTTTAATTTGTGCTTCTGTACCTGCTTCTCAGTCTTAGTCCCTTCCTCTTTTTTACAAGTTTATTTATGTCATCCTCATCACTTCTTGTTTTCACATAGTCCCAATTTCATGTTCGTTGCCAATTTAGTGACTTTTAAACATTTGGTTGCCATAACAACCTTTGCAAAAATCACAGGCTGGCTGCATTATTTAGCAGTTGGCATGTCCCTTCTTGGAAAGACATCCTGGTAAAAGAGGGGATGGGTTTCCATGTTATGTTAGCACTGAGACTCAAGCACCAGAACCAATAGGCTCAGATGTCAGGAACATACATTAGCTCACAGACTCCTCTCACTGATCCCTTGAGGTATGAGCCACTGTTGGTTCCATTTTATAGATGAGGAAACCAAGGCTCAGAGAGGTTAAGAAACTCACCCCAGGTCATACTGCTATTGAGGGTCAGAAGTGGGACATGTGAATACTCAGAAATAGAGATTGGAACAGTAGTTACCAGGATGGGGAGAGGGGAGAGATGGGGTGCTGTAGGTCAAAGGGACAAAGTTGTAGCTATGTTAACATGAATAAGTCTATAGACCTAATGGATAGTAAGATGACCACAGGTAATAATGTTGTACTGTATGCTGAAAATTTGCCAAGAGAAAAGATTTTGTGTGTGAACACACACACACGCACACGCACACGCACACACACACACACACACACACACACACAGGTAACCATGGGAGGAGATGCTATGTTACAGAAGCTATTTTAATTTGCTTGACCTTAACAATCTTTCCACTATTCTATTTATATATATAAACATCATGCATGCCTTAAATATACATAAGTTAAAGAAAAAAGAAGGAAATGGAACATGACTAGGGATCTCAGTCTAAAACATATGTTTTGCTCCCAAATTTAGTCTCTCATGTCAGTCACCCCAAAGATCCCCAAGTGAAGACACAAACAGGAGATAATGATGCTGACTCCAAGGCACTCTGCTCCCAACATCTGCCCTGCCTCCCCCACTGGGAGATCAGGAGCTTTTCTAAATTACAATCCTGCTCCAGGGCACAGATGGTTGAGGCCGACTCCCTTTATTCCTGAGGACTTGAGCTGTTGGCTGGAACATCTTCCAGGGGCTCCAACACTATCAGAGTCTCACCCTGAGATGGGGATTCAGGTGTAAGTGGTCGCTCATGGAAGAGTAAACACCTTAATGAATTAGATACTAACTTAGGAGAAGCCAGTAAGCATGTGGAGGAAGTAGGATCCAGAAGGGAAAGCAGCCATGCAAGGAGGCACTGCAGGTACAGCCCCAGCTTAGCCTCATCCTGTGGGGAGCTCTGGAGCACAAACTACACCGCTGGCTTTGCTGGGCTCCCACACTTGCTCGCCTGTTCTGGGATAGGAAGGGAGGAGTTTGGTGAACATGGCTGGAAACTTACAGGCCTCTCTGGTTCACTGTTAGGCAAGGTGACTCCACCACCCTACACAATCTTCCAGAAGATGAAGATGCCAGTGTTAAAAGTGAAGCACACAGGGGCCGGGGATTTAGCTCAGCGGTTCTGCTGCCTGCCTCATAAGCAGAAGGGCCCAAGTTCGATCCCCGGTACCAAAAAAAAGAAAGAAAAGTGAAGCACACAGAGCTGGTGTACACAGAGGGCTAGTAAAGGGGTCCCTGGAGACCAGGGTGGCACAATTCCACTGTCCACCGATGCTATGGTCTGAATGTGTCTCTAAAATTCATATGTTGAGACTTCATCACCAAAGCAGTATTATCTAGAGGTGAGGTCTTCAGGAAGTGATGAAGTAATGAGGACAGAGCCCCCATGGATGGGATTATGGCCTTTCTAAAAGGGCTGAGGGAGTGGGTTTGCTCTCTTGTGCTTTTTCACCACTTGAGGACACTGCGCTTGCGCCTTTTTCTCCTCTCTTCCTCCACATGGGGTGCAGTGTTCAAGGCGCCATCTTGGAAGCAGACACTGGACCTCCTCTCACCTTGATCTTAGACTTGCCGGCCTCCAGGACTGTAAGAAATAAATTTCTATTGTTTACAGATTACTCAGTCTGTAGTATTTTATTATAGCAGCACAAAGAGGCTAAGATAATGACACACACCAACATCTCTCCTAAAACCGAGAACCCAAACTGTTCTGCTTCAGAGCAACAGACATTTCCCCCTCTGGATGCTCTGTCCTTCCAGGCAGTCCTTTTGTTGTCCAGCCCTGGTGTGAACTTTGCTCAACTCCTCTCTGTTAGTTCCTCTCTGTCCTGCAAAAATGTCCCTGATCCTAGGGTTAGGTACAAAAGCAACATGTGACAGATGTTGTTTTCTCTCCTCTTGCAGTCATTTTTCTGGCTTCCCCTAAGATGTTGTATAGCTCTTCCCCTCCTCCTTGTTCTGTGTTCCAGGACAAGACTGATCGAATGAATAGCCAGGAGCAGCCTCCTAGATGGGGCTGGCAACCTGAGCCCCAGAACAGGCCCCCTGTGACTGGGTCTTTTCAAGCTCAACTGAACAGCCAGCCATTGTGTCTTTGTTCCCTTCTGCCAGCCTGGTGCATCCCAGGGACAGAAGAAAAGACTTTTGTTTCCTCCAGGAAGTGAGGAAGTAGGGGTCATTCTGGGCAAGGTAAACTGAGACAGAAGTGGGGAGAGCCCCTCACTCTTCCTTCAGCCCCCACTGCCACTGTCAGCACAGGAGTTGGTTTCCACTCTACAAAATCAAAAAGCATGGCAGCCCTTAACCAGCCATTTCCTGCATTATCTCAGGCAGTGTGGGAACCCCATACTCATCCATACCCCAGCACGTATGTGCATACACACACACACACACACACACTCACTCACAGGCGTGCACGCTGTCTTTGGGCGGAACAGAGTGGACACAGGACCAAATGCTCCTGTTCTAGTTGCCTCTGAAGCTAACCCATGTTGTTATATGTGAAGGCTCCACAGAATCCTCAACCCTCTTATTTCCTAAATAGGAAAATCCTATGCAAGGCCACAGAATCTTTTGCTGCCAGGGTATGGTGCAGAGCCCAGGTCTTGTGGTCCTCCCTTCAAGGGCTCCACAGTGAGAAAGGATGTGGCCCCACCTCCGCTCCACCACAGTGAGGTAAGCAGAGTCAAAAGCAAGCAGCTGGACCCCACCCACTAGAATTAAGAGGAGATGGGCAAGGGAAACCGGAGAGCTGAGACTCAGCCTTTCTTAGGTCAGAGAGAGCCTTTCCCAAGTTAGCTGTGAGGCTGACAAATTAAAATACAGGACACCGAGCTAAATTTGAACTTCAGATAAATGAGTAGTGGTTTTAGTAGTAGTATGTCCAAACATTGTAATTCTACCCAATAATTCAATCCCAAATTCCTAGAATTGTGGACTGGGGGATGCTGTAACTGCCACAGACCCTTTCTCATTTCCCTGGGGGAGTTCTGGGGACACCACTATAATGAGTCTCTGACCTGTTTTCCAGCCAACAGAGCGCTAAAGAGCAACTGAGGAAGGCAGAGTAGTCACAAAATACAGGTTCCAAAACAGCTGACCCATGCCACCTCCTTGCCATCTGACTTTCTGAGAAAATGAGACAGATACTTACGTAGGACAGTCTGCCCATTGGAAAGTCCTGGAGGAAATGTCCAGCCAAGCAGATTCCCTGAAAGTAAGCAGGTGCTCAATACATATTTTTGGTGAATGAATGAATGAATGAATGAAAGAGTGAATGAGCAAGCTAGGTCAGGGTAGGGCATCAGGAAGCCTGACCTCCAAGGGACAGCATGCTTACCTTGCACAAATCCCCTCTCTTCTCTCCAAGCTAAGGTCTGAGCCATCCATCAGAGCTCAGCAGAATCCCCTCCTCTTCCAAGAGCCAAGCAAGCTCTGATTGTCAAGGGCTTAGTTATTCACTGAGGATGCCAAGGTACAAAGCAAAAATCAGTTCGAAGTTGAATGAATGAATGAGCTGAGCTGACCAAAGGATCTCAGGAGTCCAAGAAACCAGCAGCTCTCTTGGATTTGGACAATAATAGGAATTTATCCATTCATTCCTTCAAATTAAATATGCTGAGCTTGCTGAGGTCCAAACAATGAAGAAATAACTTCATTTATCCATCCATCCTTTTCTTCAGAACTTCTTTGTTTTACCTCTAGAAAACATTGGAGACGGTTCAGTCACTTTCAACAATAAGAACAGTCTCGTTGTAATATTGTTTTAATTTTTAGCTACTAGAAAATAAATGTGTCCAGTCCAAATGAAAATCCCAATCTCATATGCAATTCATCAACTCTCCTCCCAGCTCATCCCTAACCTGTGGCTCAAGGCCTTGCAAGGAAGAAAGAGGCTATGAGCTGTTCTGCTCTTCCTTTACTTCTTTCTTCTTCTGGGGTATTGCAGAAGGACTAGAGAAACTACAGAAAGCTGGAGAAACCATCAGTGTGTGGCAGGCTTTCAACCTGGCTCCTAGGAGGGTGTGGAGGTGGGTTCTCTGCTGTGAGCAGAATGCGGTCCCTGCAGAACCTCATGTGTCCCACTCTTTTCTGATTCTTGTCTCACGGGTCCATCCCAAACCCTCTTGCTGCTGGAATCCCCTCACCTCTTGAGCAAATTCCCATCCAAACCCCTTAAACCTGGGCCCCACCCACAGTATACCCTTGCCTGGCCTTGCCAACACCAAATGCTGAGAATCCTCACCCTCCCATCCCAGACAGCCCTAGGTAACATTCTGTCTTTAGCATAAGCTGGTGAAATGTGGGTTCCAGACCTTGTTTCACATAAATCCACCAGGCCCAAGGTCCCTGAATAATTCCCATCTTCCTTGTTTGTGGGGCTACCCCAGTGTGAGACCACAGGATTCAGCAGCTCAGTCCTGGGAAGTGGGTAAAGGGACTATGAAGAAAAGAAAACAGCCCAGCAACCCCACCAGGCTGTGTTCTCCTTTCCCAGTGACTTTACAGTAATCATTTCAAATATACTCTTCTCGTGAAGCCTGGAGGTAGGAGAAGGGGTTGATGGCCACTGGACCTGTTCTGATATTTCTAGTAACTCTGCCATGGTTTTATCTAGCACCTCCGCTTGGAGTGGGACTAACCACACCTTATCTGTTTCATCCTAGTCCCTCTCTTTGGAAAGTGGAGGTAACTTTCACTACTCTCCTCACATTTGTGACTTCATCAAAATTCTATAACATCAAGAAAACCCCCTCCAAAATTCATCCATTCATCAATTTATTAATTCTACACATAGTTAAGAGTCTATTATTGAGTATATCCATGGAAGACTTGATTTACAAGGTCCAAAGGGAAGAACTCACTGGGAGAGGACACCTGGTTCCAAGAGTAAGGTGAGCCACCAGTTATAACAAAGAAAAGAGTGAAGTAAAGCGATGTCATCAGTGGCCACATTAACAAATGTAAAATCTGACTGTGGGGACTAACAACCACCTTATGCTCAGCAGCTCAGACACTTAGAATACTGGCATCTATTTGGAGCACCATATTTCTGTGAAGGATGCCAATAAACTGAAGGTGGTTGCCAGAAGCAGCTACCCAGAATGGTGAAATATCTGAAAGCCATGCTCTAGGAAGTAGTAAAATAGTAAAGCACTCAAGTAAAGAGAAGATCAAAGAGAGATGGGAAAATTATTGCTACCTTCAGAGTCATAAATAGTAACCATCCATGTAGGGCATGGTCTCAAGTAGAACTAGGAACAAGGACAGAAGTTTCATTGAATACAGATTTGAACTACATATATTAAATCACTTCCTAATATTCAGAATCATCTAGTTATTTGCAGTCTGCCAAGGAAGATGTGAACTACGCTCTGGTTGACCATCTGTCAGGGATTTGTACAGTGAGTTTCTCTACTGCAATAATCCTCAAGCAGGGCCAGGGATTGAGCTCAGTGGTTCCACTGCCTGCCTTGAAAAGTGCAAGGTCCTGAGTTCGATCCCTGATACAAAAAAAAAATTCCTCAAGCAACATTTGTAGGACATGTTAAAATACAGATTCCCAGGTCCACCAGACCTGAGATCAGCACCTCTGGGAGGGGTCTCTTTGGGTGACTCATGTGACATGGTCCCCCACTCCATCTCTTCTGTCTGCCCTGGTGTGCTCTTGGGCTGGGGTGCCCCCCCCGCCCCACTCTGTTCCCCCAGGAAAGCTTTGTGTGGGCTCCTGTGTGGGGAGGACAGACAGCACCACCAGGCCAACAGTGCAGGCTTTGTTTGTTCCCCTTACCTCCCAGAACTCCTTCTTCATTCCGTGACTACTGGTCTTTAAGATTTGCCTTCCAGGAAGTTCTCCTAACTCCCACATTCTCCCAGAGCTGGGTAAGATGATCCTCTTCCGGCAGCAGTGCAGAGCAGCCTGCCTTGAGTTTTTTTAATGCTACATAATATTCTGTAGTGTGACTCAATCATAATATACTTCATTGGTCCCTTGTTAGTCCACACAAACCTTTTAAATACCTACTGAGAATTGAGTGCTGAGGGCATAAAATTTAATAAGACACAGTATTTGTAAACAATGAACTTGGTGTAATGGGGAAGACAATTGTTAGACAAAATGCAACAATAAAAAGAACGACCAGCAAATAAAATAGTTTTGATCGTTTGAATCCCCTAGTCAGGAATTTCTTAAGAAAAATAATCATAAAAAAAAGAAAAGAAAAACAGTCATAAAAGCCACATGTAAATGATTTCAAGTTTAAAACTCTTGCTACTCCGAGTGCAGCCTGTTCAAGATGCAAGTTTTCAGCGCACACCTGCAGAGTCGGAATCTTCATTTTTTCTTTTTCTTTTTTGTTTTTTTTTTTTTTTGGTACCGGGGATTGAATTTAGGACCTTGCGCTTACAAGGCAGGCAGCGGAACCACTGAGCTAAGTCTCTGACCCCCTGAATCTTCATTTTAATGAGATCTCTGGTGATTCAGGTACACATTGCCATACAAGAAGCACTAACCTAAAGGATTTGTTGTTCTGTACTATTTTGGCCTTATCCCCATTCCTTCAGGAATACTAACTTCGTGAATTTGGGAGTAAATTTAAAATTTTTTCCACATCTTTTTTATTAGTGCATATTGGTTACACAGATGAATGGGTTTCATTCTGGCAGATCTGTACATGCACACAACATACTTTGATCACTGACACTCCAATCACCATTCTTATTCAACCTCCTCCCTAGTTTCACATTGTGGGGTGAGACAGTCTCAATGTCTGCAATATATTCTGATCATATCCATCCCCCATTTGGGGGTAAATTCAATTAATTCCCAAGAATTTAAAAATAATGAATGTAGGAACAGAAATTCTACTAACTAAAAGAGAAGAGTCGCTTGAAAGCTGTCTCAGCTCTGTGTGAGAAGTCTGGGTACAATGCTGAATCTCACATTTAGCTCTTGGGGCACTTCCTATGGCTAAGCCTCTAGCCACAGATGGATTATTCCAGCTCTGAGAGTTTCTAAGCCCTTTTTCTCAGGATCCCCATCAGAATAGATTGTGAGGAAGACACCTCCTGCCCAGGGGCTTATGGGAAGGGACAGAGCAGTGTCCCCAGCTCCCCAGCTGCTAGTCCCAGGCTTGGCCTCAGTCCCCCTTACTCTGTCTCCCCTCCAGGGTTTATAATGTGTATCATGCACCACACTCAACAGATATCACATATGCTTATTATATCATTACCCCCAGAATGTTCCAAAACGTTTGAAAACAACTTTAAATAGAAACTCAATGTATTTTACAAGGGTTTGGGTAAGGGGGTGGTTCCATAAGGAAATGGTGACAACAGATGCCACGGGAGAGTGTGGTGAGTAGACAGTTTAGCAACACGACTCCATTTCCAGGATCCTCTGCTGCTTGTGAGTGACACTGAGTCACTGAAACTGTCACATTTCATCTACAAGGAAGTGGGCGGTGTTCACACAGACTTTCCTGCACTGCCCAGAAGTGACACGAACTTGAGAATCCTGAAACTGTGTCAAGCTTACCTACAGGCCAGTGGGGCTGGCTTCCCAGGTGCCCTCTCGGAGTTGGGGAGTAGGTTCCCAGGGGGAAATGGAGCCAGGCCAGGAAAATCCTCAGCTCTCTCTGGGAGGGGAGCCAGATAACCTTCCCAACCTTATAAATAATGACTGTGAAAACAGAAACTCAAGAATATACAGTTATTCCTCTGTATCTTGGGTCTTGCATCATCTGTGGATTCAACCAACTACAGATCAAAAATATTCAGACAAAAACCTGAATCTAACCTGAGCATGTACAGCCCTTTTCTTCTTGTTATGATGCACTAAATAACACTGCAAAATGACTGTTTATATCACATTTACATCAGTAAATCACCCCCATCCCCCCCAAAAAAGTAACATTTTAATGTATAATATTCCAAATGTTTCCTGCATATGTACTAGCACTATGTGTAATAAGCTTACATATCTTTTTTTCTTTTTTTTTTTTTTTTTGGTACCAGGGATCGAACTCAGGTCCTTGAGCTTGTGAGGGCAGAACCACTGAGCTAAATCCCTGGCCCGCTTACATATCTTTTAAAATACAAATACGAGCCGAGAGTGGAAAAAATTTACCACAAAATACTTTGTGAGCTATGCATAGGATTTTCCAGTTCATCTTAATCAAACCTCCTTTCAAAGCAAGCTCCATTCACACAGCATTTCAGGCTGGATCTTCCTTGCTATACCACCTAGTCTATGAAACGATCATGAGTACATTTTTTTTTTATTTTTTGTTTTTTGTTTTTGGTACCAGGGATCGAACTCAGGACCTTGCACTTTAAAGGCAGGTGGCGGAACCACTGAGCTAAATCCCTGGCCCAATGAGTACATTTTTTATGGGCTGCTCAACATTCTCACCTTAGAATCCTTTCCCTTCCCTTTCCCAAATTAAACCACATGACTCTTCATAGCCACAGGCTTTTTGCTTTTTATTGTTCAGTAAACACTTTTGTTACAAAAATCATTACTGTTGAGAAAATATCTTAATCTAGATCATCTTTACTTTCATGGCTCATTAAAAATAGTTCTTTCAGGGCCGGGGATTTAGCTCAGTGGTTTCGCCGCCTGCTGCGCAAGTGCAAGGACCCAAGTTCCATCCCCGGTACCAAAAAAAAAAAAAAAAATAGTTCTTTTTAGTACTGACACAGAGTCCAACAAACACTATTAACTGAGATGTATTAGGAACATCTTTTACCAAACCACCTATATAATTTAATAGTTTCCAAATCTCCACCAATATTTCCTATGTGCCTTTCACATATTTTCCCACTAAAGACTGCATTCTAATTTTGATGCTTTATTGTTCCTCCATATTCTTTCAATTGTTTTATTCTAGGAGGACGAGACAACATTTTACACAAGTGTAGAGCTTGCTCTTATTTACTCTTAAACAAGAAATCTCAAGAGGTTAAGTATTTATTATGAAGTTATGTGAAATTTTTGAAAAGGTCTAAATCAAGTTTCCTATAACTTTAAAAACAAAACAATGAAAAAATAAAGTTTTGCCACCCTCTGGATGCTTTTTTTTTAAAAGTCCTATAATCTTTATAACTTTATGTTGGATTGAACTATATGGAGTTGCCAATATCATATCAAAATATAGCTGAACATTATCAACTTCATTTGATTAAGACTAATACTATGACTTGAATTCTCAAGACATAGTCAACTAAGATAAGGTTCAAAACTAGCAAGAATGGCTATGAATTTGTATTCCAGAAAGATTTCTTAATAACTAAATTTTTAAAATCAGATTGTCATTGTTTTTAACCTTATAGCCTATTGACATAAAAAATGAAGAATATCAGCTCACCATTTTCTTACAGTCTGCTTGACTTATCTCATCGGAATCCTTAGTATGTGACTTACTTGCAGCAAATCCCTTTTAGCAACTTGGTTTTGGAAAATACAACCCATGAATCCACTTAGCCACACTGACACCAGAGAGAGGGTGAGAAATGCCACAGGCAGCCCCTCCATTCTGTGCAACACCCTCACTTCCCTTTGGGCCCCGTCTCCACCTCATGGGTCTCTCAGGGGTCCAAGGGGAACCCAACAAGAACGTCAGTGTCCATTGAGCCACGCAATATTAGCCACGTTTTAAACACAAATAACACTGGGCATTCTACCACTTTCTTCTTGCCATTCAGAGCCACATCCAGCATGAACACCTTCCTTAGGATTTGCAGTTCTAGCAGGTTATGAGCACAGGCCCGTTCTCTGCAACAGGCTGCCCATGGCTCTCAAGTCCCCACCAGCAACCAGTCAGACTCCTCCTGTGTTGATGGCCCAGCCTCTCTCGCCAGAGCCACATTAACAAGAAGCCACCTTCTCTCTCTCTCTGCTCTTGTCTGGTCTGTTCTCACCCCCACATTCTGTATTCTGAACCCTGCCTGCTCTTTGGGAGTCACAGGTGCAACATTTAAATATTGCATTAAGAAAACTTGGCCTTCAGTCTGGCAATAGAGAAAACTGATTTAGAAACTGGAATACACCACACAGACATTGGAATAATACTGTCCTCAGGCCCAACCCAGGGCCAAGAGATCCAAGTCTCTGGGGTGTGGCCGGAAATACCCATTTTACCCAGTTTCCCATTTGTTATGCACAGTTGTGTACACTTAAATTTCAGAATTTGAGTAGGAAATATTATATTCCTGACTGTTAGGGCTTGTGTCTTGATATCCCCCTAAAGCCTCATTCAGTTACACTGGAATTGAGTCATGGTATAATGCTGTGCTCACAGGCACTAGGATTAAGGGTGTGAATGCTACCCACCCTAAGTAGACTGGATAAAAGGGGCAGAAAGATGCTGTTAAGGACCCTTGTTGCTTTTGCTGTTTTTGCCTACAATGAACTGCTTCTCTTCTGCGAAGTCTCTCTGCCATGTTCTGCTCTGCCTTGGAGCCAGCCAACTATGGACTGAAACCTCTACAAACTGTGAGCTAAATAAATCTTTTCCCCTTCAATTTTGGGTGTTAGGTATTTTGTCTCAGCAATGAGAGAAAAGTAACTAAGATACTACGCTACCCATGTGTTAGGAAATTTCCAACATTGATGTAGGATGTAAGAGAGTACCTTCTTCATGAAGAGCAGAATCAGAGCCATATGATAGGCACTGCCATTATTGAATGAATCATTCCTCTGGGTTTCTAGGAGGAAAATAATTCTTTGTGCTAAATCTTCACAAGTCTTTCCCTGAGGACTATGAGAAGTAGATTAATAATTAAATGTAATCAGGAGAACACGGAGATAAGGATGTGAAGTCGGGGAAGATTTATGATTTGTTCTTGTTCTCAAAGAGTTGGAAGGAGTCTAT